CCCGCGGTCGGCGCGCGGGCAGTTGTTTACTACAAGCGGCGATGATTACGCACGAGCGGCGCGTAACGCCGGGCCCCTGTCCTAAGCGATGATAGTTTCTCTCCTTTTTTTTAAATAGAAATAAAATTTTCTAACAACATAGAACATTTTTTTGTGCGTACGTATGTACATACGTGTGTACATGCATACAGAAAAATATCAATTGTGCTGCTTAAAAAAGCGATTACTCAATTTACTTTTTTTTTTTTTTTTTTTTTTAGTAAGTAACGGTTGTCTTTAAGAAAGAATATTTTCTTGATAATAGTCTTAAAATGTACAAATTTTAGAAAGAGTCTTTATTATGTGCTATGTACTCGAAAGAAGAATTTATACTCCTTCAAAGAACATAATAAAATTTTATCAAAAAAAAGTCAAAATAATAAAGTAATATGAGGACCCTCGAGATTAAAATAGGAGAAGGCTATGAGGGTCAGACGCAGATCACAGTGCGTAATATCAGAAATAAGTGATTTATTCGTCGTTTTGATACATTACATCGATCCGTACGTTTCGGCTCAGTTTTGAGCCATCTTCAGCGGTAGTTACAGAAATTAAGTTACACGTTCTCCGTACCGTATGGTGAGTTTACTGATTCAAAGTATCAGAAACATAGACCAATTGATCCATATCTGTAAATTTGTTCAATTAATGTTGAGATATTAAAAAGATCCCTTAGGAAACTCACCATTCGGTCTGAAAAACGTGGAATACAGAGCCATGAATACATAATAAATACTCTCTGCGAGAAGTCTTGACGATCTTATCGACACGACACATGCACAGCAATGATATGAAAGGTCTTGCAAGAAGAGGCATGTCGTAGGTCAACACACCGGCGAGGATTATAACAAAGCACTTTCGACTCAGTTTGGCTCGCTCTATCTAAATATGAAAAAAGTACCAAGAATTCAGGGGCACCCTGTATATAATCCTTTTAGATTGCATTATTTAAAAAAAAAACTCTTACCTCTATCTTTTCTTACTGTCTCCTCGCTATCTCTCTCTCTTTCTATTACTGTGACAATACTGTCTTCGCTGTCATAGTCTACTAAAGCGTCTTAATTTTTTCCCTTCGTCGAAAGATTCTCTGTCTCTTTTTCCATCTTTATCGGGATTTAAATATCAATTAAACATTAGCATTCCTCTTTTGACAAGATAAAACCAACATTCATACAATTGACAGATAATAATTTACAATTTCTATCACCAAATTTCTTTCAGCGACAAAATAAAAACACAATGCTTATGAGGCTATATAGAACGCACTGCAATTCACAACAGCCCCAAAGCGAGAAACCACGCGCCTCTGCAGAGCTATCCGTACGCGCACACCACTCTCCGTTGCAATCCCCAGCACTGCTGAAAAGATCTATGGGAGCTCGGGTTGATCACGCACGCGCACGGGGCCCATACAAATTTACGCGGCTTCCCTGTATAATCAAGCTACACCGCACAATAAGTCCTGCTCAATTACCGACCCGATACATATCGATTTAAAAAAAAAATAAACTCATATAGAGTCATATAGAGTTTTTATACATACGCATACACATACATGTACATGTATCGTAATCTAGCCATCTAGCATATACGCATACATTTACATGTATCGTAATCTAGCCATCTAGCATCGATGCCATATTATTAGTCGAAATCGATTATGTGTTTGTGCGCGCCCAGCAACAAGTTCCGCGCGTTGAAAAACAAATGACTCACGCCGTTCGCGATCGGACTTGCACTCGCACGTCGCCAGCTTGTTACCAAGCGGCATCTTTCTATCTCTTTCTATTGTACATATCCTCTTTAAATTTCATCATTCTCTACTTCTATCAAATAGCAAAAGACTTTGTCTTCTTCTAACGGCATTTATCGAACGTTCTTGTTAGCTGGGAATTTCTACTTCTGTACTATACCTTATCTCTATCTCTCAAAAGACAAAAAGAATTTGTCTCCTTCTAACTTCTAACGGCATTTAACGAACGTTCTTATTAGCTGGGAATTCTTTCGTTTTGCTCGTCAGCAACGAGGAATATTATTTACTTACCCTCTAATCTTCTAGATGCTTCTATCTCTTTTTCTTATGCCTTTCGCCGGCGTCTCACACACTTCGTACGCACGTTCGTGTTACGTTCCTCACGCTGGGGAATCGTGCCCTGGGCCCATAACCTGTTGGAAATATCACTTGGAACGCTACGGGATGTGGCGAGATGGGCAGGAAATAATCTCTTCTAGTTATTTCAACACTCTGAGTACACTATTTATTCTATATCACACTTTGTATCTTAAACCGTAATCGACGTCTGAACACGACCGTGATCGAGACTTCTGAGCACCCAAGATGCCCGCACGCACACGTGGCGCTTCGCGCCACGCCACCAACCGAAAGCTGCCTTCTGGAAGGGCGGGAGCTCATCGCTCGTTCAAAGCTCTTTTCACAATAATATTTTTTGAGAAAAATTTTGTTGAAAAAATTTTTTTTAATATTAATTCTAAATTTGTTTATTTACTTTCCCTACATGTATGTAAAGTTTCATAAAAATCAGAATTTTCGAGTTCACGAAGTTCCTTTGTTAGTTTATTTTTCGAGCGGCAATTATCTATAGAATTAAATGAACAAAGAGAAAGATTTTATCCAGCCTATGGAAACACGATATAAAGGAAAAAAATGAATTTTATGATAAAACTGGATTTTGTGCTAATGATTTGTATTGATTCTTGATTGAGGACGACGATATTAAACTGCCGCGAGCAAAGAAAAAAATTTATTATTTCTTACCAATTTCTTCACAAAATGTAATTGATTTCATTTCTTTTAAACAAAAATTCATATCTGCTAAATTTTTGTTAAAATATCGTTATTTTAAAATTATACTTTGAAATAAAGCTGAATTTGGTTCTAAAATGGCTCAATCTTCGATAAAAAATAATTTTCGATGCAAGGGAAACGGACAATTGGTACTGCTGTGCTATGGAGTCACACACTTATCATGATTCACTAACGGAACTTAATAATTATTAAAAATTTGATTTTGTTGCATTGTGTAATTATTTGATATAATGTTTATGCAATTATGGTTTTTAAAATATTCTATTACATCACAATTCTGAAAAATTTGACAAAAATTATGTAAAAAGAGCTGATTTATTATATTATAACTGCAATATAAAACATGCTAATAAATAAAAGTTTTATTTCATTCAGAGTGAAAAATCTCTGTTTATTGACAAAACAATTGACAACAGAGGGTGCGGTCCACTTGACGCTACAAATGCTTCGAAACATTTATTTTCTCTTTTCTTTCAATGAAGAAAGAAGGAGAAGAAGAACGCTCTAAAGCATTTGTAGCATCAAGTGGACCGCAACCAGAGTTGTATGTTTACATTGCATTGCTAATAATTGGTGTTTCCTGGTAAGGTAGATGATACAGTGAGATATCATGTTCAACACGAAGTGACTGTAATATAGAGTCATACCGCTCAACATTGTAATACTCTAAATATCTGCGTGTAAAATATGCTCATAAGGAGAGGATACAGTTGACTCACTGATTTTGATTCTCTTACAGATCTACATCGAAAATAAGTTTAGAATTGGAACCTACGCTGTACAATTATTTTTTTATTTTGTTATTTTTATTTCTCTTTTAACTATTTAATATATGTAGATGTGTAGAATCCTTAATTATTAGAGAGTCGGAGTAAATAATTGTTTAGCTTTATATGTAATTAATTTATTCTGAGCAGTTATAAAATGAGATTAGGCAAAGAATGGATATAGTTATGACAAACGAGATTATGCAAGGAATAGATATAATATTATTGTTACGTCCAGGCTGACATTGAGACCGTGACTCCTCGAATTGCTCTCACACGCACTCACTCACACTCGCGCACTTGCGGAAGTAACGACACGTTTATTAATTAACGAACGAATTTATTTATTAAAGGGAACACCAGAGAACACGTCAAAACAGTTTAAAAGCCGAGGTTCTTAAAAGGCTCCGCTATTAAAACAGCAGCCCGTTGTCAAGGGGACGCTTCGCGACTTCTGCGGAATGACCGCTTGCTTCAGCTCAGAGTTAGTCGACTGACTCGCGGACGAAAAGCGTACCGGGCGGGACGCACGCAACACTGCCCTCCCTCTCTAAATTATCGTCCCGACAATCAGTGAGGCAACTTGCTGCATAACTTCTCGGGAGGCCAACTGCTTCTGGACGGTTTCCTGCCCTAGACGGTTACCGGGCTCCATCCACTCTAGTCTCTGCAACAGGTCCTCTCCAAGCTTCTCCTTATAGAGCTGGCCAGGCTCTCATGACGAGACTTCGCATGTCCCCTGCCTTCTGCCGCTCGTGCTCTTCTTCCCTTTTGAGTCTTGCGCGCTTGGGTCTTTTTTCTTCGGGATCAGAGGGGGAAATACTTCCGTGGACCCATCGCTCTAAGAGCTCTCGGTCCCCTGCCTCGGCATTCGCCCTTAATCTCACGGGAAAACCACGGCCAAAAACCGTGAGAGAGGCAGTCCAGAAAGCTTCCAGGAGAAACTTCCAGCAAAATTTCCTTTTCACATACTTTAGGTCTATGCTTGGTGTTAATATCTGCAACAGAACATTTAAAAACTTAGAAAAATCGAACAAAAATTAATTAGCGACTTCCTTAAAATAACTAAAGTACGGGCTCAGACTCATGTCGGATCGAACTAACACTCAAACACGAAATCGGAAAATTATTCCCTTTCCTGGAAAGGAGCCAAGCGATCTGCATGAACAATTTTATTTTTATGACGAGGAGACTCCTGGATACAATACACAACATCACTAAGTCTTTTCACCACCCATAATCCTATCCAAGGACTCTGCAATTTCGGGGCCTTTCCCATAACTTGTCGAAGACTATAAAACTAGACTTTCTGTCTTGGTTCGAAAAACACTCGTCTAGAACGTCGATAATACCAGGATTTAACGTTTTTGGATCTAATTTGAAGATGATGTCTAGCAAACTGATGGATGAGATCCAATCTGTTTCTCAGATTGGATATATATTCCACCTCTCCATCTTTCTCTTTCGTCAACAAGGGTGGGCTTTCTCTAAGAAAATCCAAAGTTAAACGCAGATCTTGTCCTAGATACATCTCCGCCGGAGTTACTCCAGTGGTTTCGTGTTTTGAAGAACGAAAAGCTAACAAGTACAAAGGAATCCACCGATCTCAATCTTTTTGACTTCCGCAAATAAACTTTGCCAAATAATTTAAGATAGTACGGTGCTGACGCTCGACCTGCCCGTTTGATTGTGGGTGAAGAGGGGTCGTACCGAGTTTTCCTAATCCCCATCAGGGAAGTCATTTCCTGGAAAAGCCGGGACTCAAAGTTTCTTCCTTGGTTTGTATGCAATTTTAAAGGAACTCCATGCCAGGAAATACTTGATCTACCAGGGATCTTGCTACCGTACTGGCTGTTTTATTTTTTAAAGGGATAGCCTCTAGCCATCTAATTAAGCTGTCGACTACCACCAAAAGATATTTATTTCTGTCCCAAGAAGTAGTCAAGGGACTTAAAATGTCCACCTGTATCTTTTCGAAGGAAACTCCCACATTATAGATCTGTAAGGAAGATTTTTTCTTGCCAACAGGGCCTTTCTTAGCGACGCAAATCTTGAAGGTAGCACTCCATCTCTCTACGTCCTTCTTACAAGTGGCCCAATAAAAACGTTTTCCAGAGAATCTTCTGTAACGTTTTATTTATACCAAAATTATCTTAAGGAGGGAAGACAAATTGTATGCCTTATTCGTAGACCTAAAAGCGGCATTTGACAAGGTGGAAAGAGAGCAATTATGGAAGATCTTGAGGGAAAATGAAATAGATGAAGAACTTATAAGGAGAATAGAAGCAATATATGATGTGACTGAAGTTGCAATAAGAACAAAACAGGGCCTGACGGAGAAATTCAGGATAACAAAAGGAGTCAGACAGGGTTGTGTAATGAGTCCACTCCTATTTAATTTGGATATAGCGGACATTAGAAAAGAGCTAAAGGAAAGAAAGATAGGAGGCGTAAAGTTAGGAAACACTAGAGTATGGTCGCTAGAATATGCGGATTATATGGTGTTCGTAGCAAAGAATAGAACAGCAATGTTAGACATGATGGACACAATAAAGAGGTTTCTAAAACGGAGGAAAATGATATTATGTACCAATAAAACAAAAATGTTAGTGTTTAACAAAGAAAGTAGGGAGAAGAAAGAGAAATAGAAATGGGGAGAAAAGGAGATAGAAGAGAAATAAACAAAACAATTTTCGTCGCCAGCAAATAATTCAAAATAAGTCGTTTTATTTTCGACCCAACTGGCCAAATAGATGGCAGGCTCTCAGTATCGTTTTGTAAGGCATTTAGAAACACGCATCAAAGAACATCGATGTGATATCAGGAAAAATGTAGATAATCATTCTGTTGTGAGCAAACACTATCTTGCACACAATCATGATTTCAAGTGGCAGCATCCAAAAATTTTATACAAAGAAAAACAATTCAAAAAAAGAGAAGTTTCGGAAATGTTTTTCATTAAAAAACATGATTGCACAATCAATTTACAAAACGATACTGAGAGCCTGCCATCTATTTACAACTGTGTCATTGGCATTACTTAGTCGGCCTTGTACATTCGGTTCTGCTCGTTTTTCCACCAGAGCGCCGTTTGCTATCCGCGGATTACGTTTGACAACTTCATTTCGACTTTGACTGTCTTACTGTTCGGACGTTGTGCCTCGATATGGCTGGTGATGTTTTGATTTCACCGTTTGTTTTGGAACGCATAAGAATTGTAATTAAGCTTTTAACTAATTTTTACAGTGTTAATTGATTTTATTGTTTTTGACTAGCGCGATATTGTAATGATTTTGTATAGTTTTTCTATTGTTAAATGTATTATTTTCTCTTTTGTTTAGTTTTGCGTTTGTCTTGACGTTGTCAGGACACCACGTCAACGATGCAATTAAGTTTGTTATGCGGATCGGTGTAACTTGAATTAAAGCACTTGACAAAGACCGAAATTTGGTCGAAACGTCGTGCAATCTTGTTTCAATTGGCCAGTTGGGTCGAAAATAAAACGACTTATTTTGAGATAGAAGAGGTTAGGACTTTTAAATATTTAGGTTTCGTGTTTAATAATAGAGGGAATTGCAAAGATCACATTAAGGAATTAGTTAGGAAAAGTAAGATTGCGATAAATAGGACGTGGGGTCTAGGAGAACGGATCTGTAAAGATGATTTTATAAGGAGAGGGAGTTTGTTTAATTACCTAGTCTAGAGTGTAATGTCGTATGGGGTGGAAATTTGGGGATGGAAAGAAAAAAAGGACTTGGAAAAAATTATACTGGATTACGCAAGATGGGTTTTCGATTTAAAGTTCTGTACCCCAAGATACCTAATGTCAACGGAACTGGGGTTGAGAAAGCTTAGGATAGGATGGGGAAGAAGGGCAATGGGATATGAGGAAAAGATTAGGGAAATGGATGAGAGCAGATGGGTCAAGAAATGTTGGATAGAGAAAGAGAAAAACAAATGGAAGACAGATATGGTAGAGAGAGAGAAGAACTGTAATAGGAGAAGGACTGTAATAGAAACGGGTGGGGAGTGGAAGCAGTTGAGTCGTTAAGGAGAGAAAGGAGAAACTTAGGGGAAGATATTAAATTAAGAGACTGGGAGATACAGAGGCAAGTAGAAGAGAATAATATAATAGAGTCGAAGTATAATAGGAAGTATAAAGAGTTAGAGAGAGACGGAAATAGACAGGAATATCTAAGGATGGCAAACATAGATAAACAGATCGAAGGGGATAGTATCAGATCCCTGATAAATCTGAGATGTGGTAACATCGAATCGGAGAACATGTATTGGTGAGGGGAAGAGAAAAAAATTTGTCTGTTCTGCAAGAAAGGAATGGATAATTTGAAGCACTATGTAGAGGAGTGCAACAGTACAAAGAACCGGTTTATAGAACTAGGGAGGGATAACAGGAAAAGAATAGATAGACTATGGAACGATAAACTAGATACAACCAAAGAAAGAATATTAAGGAAATTATATACGGATAGGAAAAAGATAGAAGCGGAGATGAGAAAAGATAGGCGAGAGCAGTAGTGATAAATAATGGCGAGCTTTAGCGTGAGGAATGATTCCGTCAAAATTGTTGTGATTGACGGGCGATGTGCGGATGGATGATTGTGTTAAGGAACCTATTGTAAACTAAGTCTACTTTTTGGCAGCAGCCGAAGTTAAATAAATATTATTATTTATACCAAAATGTCCCCCAGAAGGTAAATATGGGCCTCGTTCAAAATTTCTTGTGTCTTTTGTTGTGGCGCAACAATCTGAAAGATGTTTTTCCGTAAATTTGGAAAGAGCCATTTTTATACAAAACGCTATCAACAATCGTCAACATTTCCCAATGGGTTCAATAGATTTTTAAAGAAGGTTCTCAAGGAGAAATCTGCCAATCAGGTCGTCTTCCAGCTTTTTTGGCTTGAACAATTTTATAGATAATTGGATCCTGAAACTGAGCGGAACGCCATTCCTGAAGATTTTCCTCAGCGAAAGACTATACGACCACAAGTTTCTTCCTTAGATTCCTCGTTGAGCTCTATCTTGGCACAATGACGATAGGACATCTAGATAATCCATCCGCATTGCCATGAGCTTTTCCGCTCCGATAACAGACGTCAAAGTCGTACTGCTGCAGACGCTCCAACCATCTTGCCAATTGCCCTTCTAGGTTCCGGAAAGACATTAACCATCGCAAAGAAACGTGATCTGTTCTCACTAGGAACTTTCTTCCATACAAATAGTGATGAAATGATTTCACCGAGTCCACTACTGCCAATAACTCACGTCGGGTGACACAATAATTTTGTTCAGATTTATTTAACACCCGACTAAAATAAGCGATCACCTTTTCTTCTTTTCCCTGAAACTGAGAAAGCACGCTCCGATTCCATGATTCAAGGCATCTGTATCTACAATAAACTGTCCTTCTCCTGAAAGAAAAGCCAAAATAGGAGAAGTCAAAACGCGTTTCAAATTCTCAAACGCCTTTTAGCATTCGGAAGACCAGACGAACTTATTATTTTCTTCAGTCAATTTGTACAAAGGTTTAGTCAAAATAGAAATACTTTTGACAAATCTCCTATAATACGAGCAAAAACCAAGAAAATTTTGCACATGCTTCCGTGTTTTCGGAAGCGGCCAATGTTTGACAGAAGAAATCTTATCTGGGTCTGTTGCAACCTTCTTAGCAGATATAACATGTCCAAGGTTCTTTACTTCTCTTTTTAGAATTACACACTTTTTAGAATTGACCTTTAAATTAGCATTTCGTAAATGGAGAAAAACTTCCTTTAAATTACACATTATTTCTTCAAAATTCTTTCCAAAAACAATGATATCATCTAAATACATAAAACAAATCTTAGAAATTAATCTTTTCAAAACTTTTTCCATAAGAGACGTTTAAAAGTAGCATAACTGTAAATTGTCATAAACCATTTCCGCAAAAAAAGCAGTATTTTCACGATCCTTAGGATTTAATCTTACCTGCCAATTTCCACTCTTTAAATCAAGAGTACAAAACCACGAATTCCCCGCTAAACAATCTAAAATATTGTCAATCCTTTAAAAGAAAGTAAAGTTTCTATAAAAGATCTAAATGTGAGGATCCTTGTTCAAATATCGGAAGAAGAGCAGGACAGTCCTCTATTCGAGAACAAATTAGCCCGCGCTCACCCTCTACACTCTTCGTCAAACTGAGAGTGTTCTCGAGAAATTGATCTAAAATTTCCGTTTTAGCAAGAAAATCTATTCCGAGAATACATTCGTCGTTAATATCCGCGACATAAAAGGGCATCTCGAAATTATATTGGTACGGTACATATTTTTCGGGCTCCCCTGATTGATTATTATCACTGTCGGAGTTACAACAAAGATTTTTACCAAGAGAGCCGCAAGAAATCATCAAAATTCGGAAAAGGCCTATTGTAAATAATTACCAATATTTGTTAATGTTGGGTGTGTCTTACGCGTTTGAATAGCGCGCGTGTTAGTGTGTGTGCGCAGTATGGATATGACGGCGGTGCTCTTGTTCGTTTTCCGGTTCCTGTGTGCTCGGTTTTTTCCGTTATTTGTCCGAACATCTGAATCATCTGAAACTTTTACCCGAGGAAGTTTCTTCTGTCAAATTTAGACACGTGTCTCATTGAGAGTTCACTCGACATTTTTTGCTTGTTTCGCCGTTTACGTCCTTTACTCGTTTGCAAACACCAAAAACTTAACAAAAAACTTAATTTTACCTCGACGTTCTCTTTCAGCGACTAAAGCACAAGAAGCGAAGAAAACTTCGTCTTGCGTTCAAGTTATGGGCCCAAGCACGATTTTCTCGGTGCTTTAGTGAGTTGTCGAGCGGCGGAAAGTATACGCGTGTGTGGTGTCAGTCATATATTGGGGGCTCGTATAAGTTTTTGTCAGTGTTTGCAAACGAATAAGGGAGGTGAACAGTGAAACAAGCAAACATGTCACTATCGACGAGACACGTATCTAAATTTGACGGAACGAATTTCCTTGGGTGGAAGTTTCAGTAATTCAGATGATTGAGGTGTTCATCGCGTACGATATCTTCGATGCCGTGAAAGGTAATAGAATTATGCCGGCAAACAGTGCGTTGGCGGAAGGCAAAATATGGATCAAAGATAATGCGAGGACTGTGTTTGTCATATCCTTGTCGATGGAATATACTCAGCTCGAGTGTCTTTGAGTGTCTCCTGACATATTCTACTGCAAAAGAGATGTGGGATAAACTTGGAACGATTTACGCGCATAAGTCGGCCTTGAACAGACAACTATTAACGCAGCGGTTTCATGAGTATCGCATGGAAGCGACGGACACAGTAGTGCAGCACGGCCAAGGTGCAAAATATAGCAAGATAGCTCATGAATCTCGGAGAAAACGTCTCGGATGTTAATGGCAAAATATTGGCGAGCTTAACGGCGAATTTTTTGGCCTTTCGGCCGAGGGATAGCGTTGATCCTGATAGGAAGACGGTCGAAGACTACGAAAAAGAAATCCGGTTAAACGCTGATACGAGAGATGTGCGTTAGCTGCGATAAAGATCAACAAAGTGACTAGTTTTAAAGACTCTAAAATTAAGGACAAAGGCGAAAAGAAGAAGCGTCGAGATAAAAAGGACGTTGAGTGCTATTGCTGTTGGCCAGGCCAAGGGGCATTACGCGCGATTGCCCTTAACATAAATAAAAAAAGTGACCGCGGCGAGGACGACTCGCAAGATTGCGCGTTTGTACTAACATATGCAGAGAGTTAACATAAGCGCGTACCTTTGGGAAAATAAGAAGCTTTATAAAGCGTTGACAACCGTTCGATGAGGGTTTTTAAGAGTTTATACGCTTTCAAACTTTGTAAGAACGCTTACACAATGCCGTTAGGTTTAAATGCTTTTAAAACGTTTATCAAATACGGTATATATAACGTTTCGTGAAAGTTCTGCAATGTTGAGGAGACGCTTTTCAGAGCACGTTTAGTAAACGCTGATTTACTTTCGTGCAAAGTTTCTTGTCAGACTTTTCAAACGTTTAGCAAATGCTTTTCCCAACGCTGTAAGACAAGTGTTTTTCTTCTGTTCAGCAAATATTTTTTCAATGCGGCGAATTATAGGGCGTTTACGCAAACGGCTTGGAAACGCCTAAGAAACGCTTTTCCCGATGCTGTAATACGAGCGTTTTCCCTCCATTCAGCAATCGCTTTTCCAACAACGCCGCTAGGCGGCGCATCTTTTTCGCATTTAAAATACATCCAACCGTGTATATAAGCAGACCCCCTGTAAGGCGAAAAGTAGATTCGATTTCGAAATCTCTATTATCATTAATAAAAATTATTCTTCTAACGACAAGAGTAAACGCTTGTTAAACGCTCGATAGAAGCGAAAGAACTGCATGCAGTTTCCAATGATAAAAGTAGGCTGCGGTCTACTTGGCGCTACAAATGCTTTGAAACGTTCTTCTTCTCCTTTTTTCATTGGAAAAAAGGAGAAGAGGAATGCTTCGAAGCATTTGTAGCTTCAAGTGGACCGTAGTTGTAAACGCTTAAATGTTTAACAAAGGACCTATAAATGTTTTAAAGAACTCTCAGCAAATCGTCATACGTCATGTAAATTCTGTGCAAACTCTCAAAAACGCTATGTACAAACGCCTTTCAAACGCTGCAGTGTGCGAATTTTCGCTCTATGAAATCTTTACTGACCGTTTCCAAACTCTCGACGAACTTCCGCAAACGCTCACGTAAACGCCAAAGAAACGTTCACGAAACTTCTCATTTCCGCCAGGGTAGAGATGAAGCGCGGTCGGTACAAGGCGCCCGGGGCCATCTAGTGACCAAAGGCACGAATTGCTCGGTGTCGATCAAAAAGACGTTTGGTACATCGACAGTAGTTGCTCGAAACACGTCACGTTTCGAAAAAACTGATTCGCGGAGTTCCGTCAGAAGAGAGACGGCTGCACAATATCGCGATAATGGAGAGTGTATTGTCACCGGTGAAGGAACTGTGAATGTGGACAATGAATAGTGTGTGGCGGTAAGCCCGCATTGAGAACGTTTTGTATGTGCCGGATGTTCGAAAAAATTTATTTTTGGTTGGCACTTTGAGAGGTTACTTAGTGTTTCGCGAGAACGATACATTGGTGATGCGCGACGACGAAGTCATTGCAACTGGCGTATAGCAGTCAAATGAAATATGTAGACTATTCTCCCGCGTAAAAATACCGGTGTGCGTCAACGAAGCTATCGTGTCCAATAACTAGTCTGAGAGTCTGGCATGAGCGCCTCGGACATTTGAACAAAGGTGCATTAAATGAACTGATGAGTAAAGACCTTGTAAGCAGCACTGATAAGAGTAACTTTTTCTGTGATGTTTGCCAATTTGGGAAATCACACAAATTACCGTTTAATAAAACTGTTGAAAAAGTGAGTAGGTGGCCGGGCGAGTTTATTTATAGTAATGCGTGCGGGCCAATGTCGACGGAGTTGATAAGAGGTGCGAAGTTCTTTGTGGTGTTCTAGGACAATGCCTCAGGCTTTAGAAACGTGTTTTTCTGAAGACATAAATCATACGAGAGTTTTAAAATATTCGAACGTGCATCTACAAATAAATTCGGGCGAGTTATGAAGATTGCATAGTGACAACGGTCAAATACTGCAATAATGGAGTACATGCAGGGATTAAACACGAGACGAGTGGTCCGTACACTCCCGAACAAAATGGTAAGGCAAAGAGAGAACAGGACGATGTGGAGTGCAAACGATGATGCAGGCAAAAATCGAGCTACCTTTGTGGGCGGAGGCAGTAAACACCGCAATGTACAGGATGCTTCTGCAACATACACATCAGTATGTTGGGTTGCCTATCTGTTTACCGGGGCAAGCTTTACTCGACTTACAGAATAAGATCAGAATGCAAGTTCGGCGTAAAGTGGCAAAAGGGATATTAGTTTTTACAACTCTGTGATATAGAGTATAATTATAAAATTTAATAATATAAATAAAATTAATACAAATAACAACCTAGATACAATTTAAGGAACAAATTTGAACAAAATTTATTTTTAATCTTAAAATATGCTTACACTAAATGTTCTACGTAACTACCATTTTGTTCTAAATATAAAGCGATTCTACACATAAAATTTTCTCTTACTCGTTCGAGCATGAGAAGAGTGATCTTTGCACACGCGTTGCGAATTCAATTTCTCAGAGTTTCCGTATTTTCCGGCAGAGTTTGATACACTTTACTTTGTAAGAAGCCCCATGCGAAAAAATCCATAGGTGTGAGATCCGGGGAGCGTGGTGGCTACTTCTGATGACCACGAAGTCTGATCCATCTCCTGAGAAATTTTTGATTTAAAACGTTTCTTACTGTCCATCCTAGTAGCTAATCTTTTTTTTCTGTAAATGGCATCATGAATGACGGAAATTTCGCAAAGATTGCTCTAAAATGTTTCGTCAAAACACAACAGTTTTGTTAGAATAAAATTTTTAAATAATATTTGTAAAAAATTAGATAAATGTGCAATGTTTCATGTTTTATGTAAAACATTTCTACATTATAATTTAAAAATAATTGTATTGTATTTTTATGAGCATATATGGATTAATTTGATCTTTTATGCATATTTCTATTTCGAAATTAATTGCGC